ATATATCAATCCCTGTGTTTTATTTTCTGCGTTTAGCGAAGCAGAGCAAGAAGATGGCCATGAAAATAGACGACGAGCTACCTCCTGAAAACGAATTCGGAGACGGAGTTTCGTGGGCCCGAGGCCCGCTTCTGGGAAAAGGGGCTTACTCGCGCGTGTACAAGGCGACGCTCAAGGACGGCCGCTCTCAGTACAGCTGCCTCCCGCCGGAGATGGCTGTGAAGTCCGCCGACGTTTCTTATTCCGACACTCTCCAGATGGAGAAGCACATGATGACCGGGTTGCTCCCCTGTCCCCAGCTGATCCAGTGCTTCGGCGACGAGTTGACCCAGGGAGAAGGCGGCAAGATGGCGTACAATCTGCTTCTGGAGTACGCCGGCGGCGGGACCCTATGCGACCGAATGAACAAATTCGGCGGCGACGGGCTGCCGGAGCACGAGGTGAAGATGCACACGCGGTCCCTCCTCAGAGGCCTGAATCACATCCACTTGTCCGGATACGTCCACTGTGATCTAAAGCCCGACAATATTCTACTCGTGCCTCGACCCAGAAAAAGTGTAACCAGTCAAACCGAGTTCAAGGCAAAGATAGGAGATTTCGGCCTGGCAAAGAGGGCAAAACGGTCAAACTGCAAAAAGAGGAAATTATGGGAGGCTAATTCTTGCAGGTGGCGGGGAACCCCTATGTATCTGTCCCCTGAAGCCGTGATGGGCAGCGAGCAAGAGGCGGTGTCCGATATTTGGGCGCTCGGATGTGTCGTGCTGAGGATGCTGACGGGGAAGGAGCCGTGGGAAGGGAGGGACAATGAGGAGATCCTGGCAAAGATAGGAACGGAGTCTGAAATTCCAAAAATTCCCAAGAAGGTGTCGAAGGACGCGCGGCATTTTCTCAGGTGCTGTTTCGAGAGGAAGCCCCTGTACCGTTTGACGGCCGACCTGCTTTTGGAACACCCGTTTCTTGATGGCTTGGGTAGTGACGATGACTATGAGTTTGATGAGGATTGTGGGTCGGTTGACGTGTTTGAGTTTGAGAGTGATGTGGACGACGAGTTAAGCTGTGACAATATTAATATTGGCTCCTTTGACTCGAATTCAGATTCGGATTCAGATTCGGATTCGGATTCAAACGACGAGCCCTGGTGCTGTTCTTCTGTTGGAAGCGAGGTGCCCTCGAGATACGGACGACACTATGCGGTTGGTCAGAGTAATAATGGTCCTGCAGTGAACTTTATGAGGCTACTTGTGAATTGAAATTAGAAAGGACAATATACTTACTACAGGACATGATAGCTAGAAGAAGTGTTAATCAGATTCATCCCTATTCGGTGGTGGTTGATAAAACTGTAATCTCATTCTTTAGTTGATGTATTTTGTTGTTCATACATATGGAATAATGACCAATTATGCATATTTAGCTTATAAAAAAATTCAACTAATGGCATAAAGTGCTATGATATTGTGAAATTATCAAATGTGAAGCAATAATCTTCACCCACAATTGGGTTGGAACTGATGATTCTTTTTTGCAACTGATGAACAACTCAAAATGTGGATCAATCATCTTCAGTAATCCACACCTACAAAGGCTTTACTTGAGAATGTATGCCATCCAAATATACTTAACCGTTGACCAATTACTATTTGTGCATACATTTTTATTTTTTTTTTTCGGGAACGATAGAAAATTGCATTAAGACAAAAGCCGGAACGATCCTTCAGATAGATTTTTTTTAAACCATGAACACAAGGCAAGGCCGCATGTTATTATACATAAAAATACCGATTATGCTGCAAGTCTGCAACACGCCTATCAAATAGGAAATTATAATGTACAGATATTGGATGGTTTAACACAAGCACTAAGACAGCCTGAGAGAAAACACTAAAACAGCTGGTTCTGGATGCCATGCAGCCACCCATCTTATAATAACTGTGTTACTAAAATATCATAATGAAGAAACTTTCCAAAACGATACGAGAGTTTGTCCTCAAAACAAAAGGCTATCGTTTAGCTCCAACAAAAAGACACCCACATTGGTGACAAAATATTGACACATAAACCACAAATTAATGTGGGACTTGAAGGAATCTCTAATCTACTGTGCAAATTTCCAAGAACT